ACTTCATAAACTTACACTGTGGCTGCACACTCTATCTTGTTTTTCTTGAAGATAATGAGAATTTATTTGTGAGGAGTGAATCCGACTGGATATGGGAGGGCTGTTGGAATACGCTATCCGCAAGCGATACCGGGAACATTTTAACGCAGGAACGAAAATCTACCAATTTCATTATAGTAACCAGACAATAACTCTTATAGATATCCATTACTTTCTTTACAGTTATATGGCAGTTCTTAACAAGAGTGGATTTCTAATTTTAATATCTGATTATGTAACAGGCCTTTTTAAGACATTCCGTGAGTGTCCACATTAGAGAACATGCAGGTGCGTCCAAACCCCCGCCTCCAAAGAAGAAAAAGAAATAATTTTCCGTCGACCATACGTCACTATACATGCGTAAACCACACCAACGGTCATATTGCTTCCTTTTGCGAGTTCCTCCTTGTTCAACTTTGTCCCCGAATAACGTTCGCCATCCGTTTGTGCGTCTGTCAGTCAATGTCGATGCAGGGCGAATGCATTGCGGCAAAAATTAAGGAGTCATTGGTTCACAGCAAGCCGCTGTTACTATTTTCCTTGGTTTAAAACTTCAAAAATTAACCCTAACGTAATAAATGCGAAACATCTTAATGTAAATTATTCCAACGAGAAAATATCTCAAGAAAAGAAAACGCACTTCTGAAAGCGATTCTCAACAGTTGCGGATACGATGCTCAATCAAACTTAATAAGTGCATAATATGTAACCTCCGACGTCGACACAGTCATGGGACGATCGAGACAAACATTTCAATTCGGAGCGGCTACAGACAAAACATCCTTTCTTTAAAATTAGTCGAATGGATGGAAAAGATATATAGCTTTAAATGTCTTGCATGATTTGCAAAATACATGTGGCTGAAGGTTCAAAATGTTCTAATAACGGGCTCTTTCCATTTGCCAACGGTATCCATACCGCAAGAAAGCAGGGGGAAAATATATAAAACGCCTTACAGATCACCTGGAAAATTCTGAACTGGCTTACTCTGTTGAGGAAGCACAATAGATCACTGTAGGTCGCGGTCCCACCCATTATACATTCATACTCTGTTAAAAAGGAACCAGTCTTGACTTATTTACTGGACATTCACAACAGTGACTTTCAAACATCAAAGAAGCCAATGATGAGAAACTATCCATAATGAAAAGCTAACAGTATACATCAGTATTTGCGGTGATACAGTACTGCAACTATTTCTTGTTTTGATGAAATGAGCATTGTTACACTTTCACGCATTCTTTGACATTCGGATGATGTGTTTTAACCGGGTCACAGTCCACTATTATGGCGCAATGTTCATACACATCAACGTTACAACATTCTCTTCTGTGAGATATACGTGTTTTTCGTCCATTTCGGTGTATACGAAAAGTGCGTTCATTGCCTTAACACCAAGACGATTCTAGGAACCAACTTCTGCACTATTAAAATGTCAAATGTATAACCCTTGCAATCAATTACGAGTAAAAACATTCATTGTGCATGCCTGCGGTTGTATTATGTACGCTTCTGTTTAAATGCCAGTTTATAATCGGCGAAACTATTTCAGAAAATAAAACTTTTATAAACAAGCATCATAACACGAAACATCACTAAATATCAATTTTAAGAACATTTTGTTAGCCATACAAGGATCAAATAACTAGGGAAAAGATGAGATCTCAGCGATATAGCTATATCCTACTTGTTTTGCTGATTGGGAAACTGTAATCCGGCTAAAGCCTACAGTCTGGTCAGCAAAGGTCATAATTCAAAGTAGAATGGAATGGTTTGCCCACATTTTATTTTGTCTGTACCTTGCAAATGTGGATCCAAAGCCATCATTGGTAAGATATTAATTCAGATTACTGTCTTCTGGGGCACGACACCGTGTAGTTTGGTACCAAAGTTTCGGAGGAAACTGCTGCTTCCATATTCACTAAATATGGACCCAGCAGGTTTCTAAGACGTTTCTTCTATCTTCTGTCTTAATACAAAATAATTCCTACCAAAGCCCTTTATACCCACAAAATACACTAAACTCACGGTAAGCATACGATGTGAAACGAAAGAAACAAAAAAGTTTCCCTTTTGCAAACAACGACGAAAGTTTGCAAAGGTCTCATTAAGAAATATAAGCCGCAACTAAATCTGAATTGCAATTCGGGAAGAACAACATCTAAATTCAGGTTCCTTACTAACCGATTTCCTACGATAAAAATAAATATTTTTGAGTTCACAACTGCATACAATTTACAACAGACCAATCTAACTTGGCCTTCTGTCAGAGGCGTACCGGAAAATCTATAGACTCAACGCAGCAAATGGTATGGACCCCTTCTGTGGCTATCTTGGAGTTTCCAGTCAAATTCATTACCACCGATACTTCCTTTCCTCCGCCCCCCCCCGGCACACACTATGTTATAGTACACAATTATTTCTTATAATGATAAATCCATTAATTTTAACAAACCAAAGCTTGTATTGGAATATCAGATTCGTGGCTGACAGTCATGCCATTTTATGCTCCTCACAGGGCTTAATCATTCGTCTTTCTTACGCGTTGAATGGGCGAGATACCATTAATCCAGCCAGGCCTTGACTTGCAGAACCGGACCGCCTCCTAAACGCGGTACCTAGTACGCCACTGTCCCCAGTCATTATTAACGTCTAAATGAAGCCTATAATCGAATTTCTAAATATCGACACTCAGTCACAGTGGAGGAAATGCTGACAAATCTATATGGGAGTACAACTTCTAGATTGCAAGTACTTATAGAAAATTTTTTGGGCTGAAAAAAAATACTTTGGCTAATCCTGTGAAAAAAAAATGGCTATAAATAATTGCCAAAATTTAGCTGTTACTAAAGCTTCTCTTATTCTAGCATACAGAAATATTGCGAGCAAAATGGTTGTGGAGATTTCAATCCACATTCTTCCAAGAGGAATTCTTGCAAATTCGATATTTAGCTGCTAGTCCAGAGAGATTAAGTACCGATTTTCCTGGACTATACTTTGCCCCACTATTTGAGTTCAATTAACTTGTCTGAGATTTTACTGTGATTCCTCTTCAATTCTTACAAGAGGATGATATCAGCGAAATTCGATTAAATAACATAAATTCATAAAAGAAAAAAATAGCTTCACAAAAAAAGGGAAGTTCTTTCATGTGTTCTTTTCTTCTTGCTACATTACCATTCCTTAATTTAACTCACTCGACATATCCCATGTCTGTCGGTTACTCCTCACATCCTTTCCGAAACATCCTGTTCCACTTATCTACTTGCATCACGTCAAAAATGCATTTACCTACTTCGCTAACAAACCAAAAAATACTATATAACAGTAACAATCCTCAAAAGTGAGAATGGGTCACCAGTCAACCTTGGTCTTCATATCCAAACTACAGTGCCATTTTGATCACAAACTGTATTAACGATGATTAACATTCTAGCGATAAATACCTTTACTTAAAACAACTGCTATTTGCGCAGTAAACAATAACCAGTAAGATGTTGCTCATCTTCTGTGCATTTATGTTTACTGCCTGTTCTCGAAATATTTAAATGATCCAGTGACGGTCTACAAGATTACGATAAACCTGATAAGTGTGAAATGTGAATTTCAAATTCTGAAATGTACGTATGTATGCGTGCATGCATATGTCTGTTATTGCGGTACATTCAGGGGTGGAGAAACCACAAGGTTCTCATTTTGATGGCACGTTAACGTATAAAAAATGGAATTATACTAATACAATGTGCTGTATACTGAAGTGGCGAGAAAATTTCGTCTAATTAATCCAATAATTGTTGTCGCAAATATCTGCAGTTATGCGCAAGCTCGTTGAGAAGTTACACAGGGCAGACTAGTTCTCACAATACTAATTCAGTCGTATAGCAGGTACAATTTGCAGAAACCTCTTTTCCTTAACGTTTCTAACAGTGTCAAACACAAAAGTGTCAACAGCGACCTAATCGTTCTACGCAAGAGATCACATACACGTACTTCGATTCACGGAAAGTAATGCGATACAAAGGAAGGGAATCACTAAGATCAATTATCTTCAAATGTATTACAATTTGGCATATAAACAGCTGTAGGCCTAACGCTCTAGAGCTCGACAAAGGCAATCAAATTCAAAATACAATGCTTAACACAATTCAGAATGTAATATGAAAGTCAATGGTATATCCACTTTATAAAAATTTTGCTTCATACATATGTAAGCAATTTAATATACTATTCATTTCCCTCAGTCGGCCTCTTTCTGACGGAGCAACAATTATACACAATATTCCACACATACGCCATTTTCAATAGCAGCTGAACCGTGCGTCGATAAAACGAGACCTACCGCATCAACTACGTATGCTTTTAGGACTAGTAGTAGCGTTAGGAAAGAACACGTCATCACATTTCACAATGCTAACACACACAGAAACACGTAATCACAACCAACAAGTATACAATTTATGTCAAATCACGTTTGCATTTGTCTTACAAAATGGATATGTCCTTTATGCGATATATCTAGCACAAAGGCATTTCTCTGGCAACGATCGGGCACTACGGTAAAGGTCACCCGGGCCAAGTTTTCTATCCTGCAAATTTGATAATTTTTTACTTATGATTCGCTTCGATAATCTTAATAACTTTTGAACGCATTGGGTCTCCGGTGTCTGGAGGAGTTAAAAGCAAAATTTTCATAATGTAAGCAAGCAGTATGAATTGCATTCTGCTTCCACAAGGCAAATTTAATTTTCGAAGGCTATGACGTCAGTGTTAAAATTCTACAAATTTGAACTGCAGCAGTATAGTATACAGTTGGGAAACAATTTAAATGAAACAGAAACTAGGGCAGTGACGTCAGCTCTCTTTCGAAAGTCAAGCTACAGAAACTTTCATATGAGGTCGATATTTTTGACTGGGCAATAGCTATCACTAATTTGTTGTAGCAACGTCACTAGGATACAAACCCCATAGCAACTCCGTGACGTAGCAGGCCGATTAACGAAATACCGGATTGCTAACAAAATTCAAAACACGGCCACAAACACAGTACTCGGGTCGAGGTGGGTTGTCCATGCATCAGGCGAGAAAGCAAGCCAACCAAGTCATATTTACATGGTTATGTAACTCAATATCCCTGCACCAAGAAGCGTTCTATTAAGCCTCATAGAATGTTAAAATCAAAGAGAAAATGAATTCTGACTCTGTAAATAATACAAGATTGAAACATAATATATAAAACAACTAGGAAGACATTAATAGCCATGAACCATGCATGCATGAAATGAGACTGAAGAAGCTTGAATAAACTCCGCAAAGCAGGTTATGCCATTTCATGCACTGTCCTGTATAGGCCTTGGCACACAAATGGCGTCCGCTTCGCCGCGTCACTCATTGCTCCTATCACGTATTGTATGTACAACGGCTTCATCATCGATGCTACCGTTCCTATGGTTAAGAATGATGTCGTTACCTTTTCTGTTTCATCTTTTTTGATTCGGACTTTACCACCAACTTTCCCTGTCCTCTCCGAGAGAAATAAACCTTGGTAAATTATAACTAAAATAAACGCCCCAAAAAACCAAGTTTACATATTCATGAGGTATAACTCATAAAATCCCATCTAAAATTAAAAAAATAATTCGTTCCAAAATGTTTTAATATTTGGAACATTGGTTAAAATGCAAACCTTTTTTCATCTCCATCTTTGAGATGGATTGCCGACGGGGGATTCACACTTTCAATTTCGAGGGCCATTATGTGTAGTTGAAAACCAAGCCACACAGACTGGGTGTCTCGTGCAACGAGTTTATATAACAAAAAATCACTTATTTGTGCATAGTTTCACTGGATGATTGCTTTTTGAATGATTATTGGAATATTATATATGATTACGCATTAGAAATAATAAAATCATTGTTAATTCATTAGGTGGTGGTTGGATGTATATTCCTCCGGAGCTTCCAAACGCCTGTGCAATAGAAACAAGACTCGGACTTCAACTGTTTCACGTCTTTCCATGCACACGAATGGTTGGACCCGTTGGTCCTATGCTAAGCGGCTGGCAACGATATCTCACCCCCCCTCGCCGGCGATGCATTCACCGGTTACAACCGAACGGGACTCCATTGCGTCGCCTCTAAAACCCGAAGCACATTGCGCGCAGAGACAACGGTATGAAACGAAATTCTAAACAAAATAAATCTTTAAAGTCAGGAAATAAAATAAAGTCACCTTCTTTAGAATTCATTATGAATGAAGAAGAACGTAAGTGTAGTTCTACAAATATGCTAATGATACAGCTACGATTAACTATTCAAATTTATTTTTCTTTTGTAAAAATTTTATTAACCTTAGCACTAAAGATAAAATATTTTATCACTTTACTTCATAAATATGCATCCACATGCATTCATTCGAAACTGCAAGCTGTAAGATCGACGGCAATTACCTATATAATCCGTTCACAGTTTCCTCGGGATTTCTAGGTAACTAACTTTCTTTTGACCTCAAACTAAATGACTCTCTAGCCTCTAACAGGGTACAAAATCCAGCCTACATAATCATAGTAGCGTGGCGACATGTCCCATGTTATGACAGCATTCATTTCATTTTGGAATTGCAGTATTCGTCGAAAAGAATAAATACATTGAGATAATCATGGCAGTCCCCCCAGAGCGTGATATGTGACGAAGCTGCATAGCCGTGTTAAGGTCGTATAGTGATGAATCACTTGGTGCTTTAATGATGGGAATGTGACTTAGGGAAAGTTCGTTCTTCGAAACCTCTGGAATGTAACCATGGGAATTTGGGTATCTTAAAGAAATCTTTACTTCAAGTATAAAGATTAGTACCTTTGACTGGAAAAAAATTTGTATTCTAGAAATCTTTTTAGTTTAAGCCAACAACCTTTTTTCAGGGGTGATACGGAATTTCTCCTAACTGCTAATTCTGGAGGAGTCAGATTCGTTATAAAGAAGCTTTAAATTTACTATAGAACTTCAACTGACAATGCTGCCTTTATCGAAAATTCATAAGAGGCAAACTAATGCGAGCATTTTATATGCTATTCATTAGTGCAGTTTCCCTCAGTTACTACTTATGTTCATATAATGAGTGTCTTTTAAGCTTTCGTACCCGTACTGAGATCACCTAGGAAACATTATGAAACAACGTCCTTTTCCTATCTTGGATACGAAAAGATGAAAATAAAGCAACTTTATAGCGGCGTGCATATGCATCGACAAAGGAGATGAGATGTATTTCAGTTTCTATACGAAAACAATATTATTAGGCGTGTACCTATGCATACACACATATTACGTTTCATGGTAAATTCTTTGAAGATATACTGTGTGCTTGGCTATTCTTTTCGAAGTTCATGGTGCCGTTACCTACCGGGTAACAAACGTAGAGGTAAAGTTGTCCTTGTGCTTAATTACTTAAAAATGTCACCATGAAGACTTACTGAGAAGTGAAGACATCGCTCCACTTATTCTTAATCTCGACATTACGTGGGGGTGAGCGGGCAGCTAAATCTCTTGCTTCTGTCGGGAATCGAAGCCAGATCCCTCGGCCGTACCATATCGCTATACTGGCTGATCTAGTCCATCAACTGGAATAATGGCGGAATGTAATAAAAGTAATAACTTTCCTACAACCGATCAATAGCCACGATTTCCATTTCATGATCACTGCTGTTTTTACAAGACTCTCAGAAAGATCAGGATCATACGGCGATAGATTTTCGTAATAAATGCGGAAGGGGTATGCAATTAAACTATGCAATTTGTTTCATAAGTTATGATTTTATCAGAAATGGTACATATTTAATGGATTATCGAATGTCTGTTACAGATGCAACTCCAGGAATTCATATAGCACAATTCTGACTGGAGATCTGAAACTATTAATGTTTAAAATAAACACATAAAATAGCCATTAAGTGTTTTTAAGAACTAACAAAAAATAACTCCCAAAACTGGTTACGTAAATGTGTATTTATTAGTAATAACTGTTAATCGCTGACTAGTCACGTCGGCTTATTGACTTAGACACTAATGAATGACTTTTAATGTGGAAGAAATTCCCCCTTCGTTTATACACTCAGCTAGCAGAAGAACAGAATATGAACTTAGTAACTGCAGTAGTGATAGTACTAATAGCAGTAGTAGCCATGNGTCTCACGGTGTTGTCGCTTGCAGATTTACCTATACTTTTTCTTCAACCCTGAAGATGGGGGCGATACGTTCCTCCGAAACGTCGGTTAACACCACATATACACGGCGCCAAATCCCAGAAGACTGCTTTCTTCATGTTATTATTTTGTTATCTTCTGTCATTACATATATATATATATTATATACTTACTTCCTTACTTATGGAGCTGAGCCCTTCTTGAGGAGCCGCCGAATTTGCAGCTACTCAAGAATTTCCCAGCATTTTATGGAACCCGAAGGTTCATTACCGTGTTCACAAGAGCCCTCGACTGGTCCCTATCCTGAGCCAGACCAATCCAATCCATATCATTCCATCCTGTCTCTCTAAGATCCATGTTAATATTGTCCATCCACCTACGCCTTGGTCTTCCCAGTGGTCTCTTTCCTTCTGGCTTTCCCACCAGTATCCTATATGCATATTGTATATGCACGACTTGTTGCTTGAAGACCATTACCACTTGCCTAAACATGTAGTAAATTTGTGTACATAAATATGTACGCGTGAAATGTTCACAGTATGCATGATACTTCTGACACATCACATTAATGCAACTTATTGTATATATAAAAATCTGTTTTAAAGCTTTAAATGGGCGTTTACAGACCTCTACATATATATTCTTATTTTCGACAGCAGGCGGTTACGTTTTCTGCAGTGGCAGTCCATAAGGTCCTTTCCAAATGGTGTTGTCTTGTCTATTTGCTTTGTTATCTGCATAGGACAACAGCTTCGAATGAAGGTATGGTTACGAATGATAACCTGGATAGCATGCTTGGCATATTTTGAAGGACGCATCCTAGAAATTTCCAGAAGGGGCTGAACAAAACTGAATAAAATCTCATTCAGCCAAGTATAAGAGAGCCCATCTCATATCTGACAGCTCTCTAATAATTGTTCATACTGGACAGGGAACGAGAGTATAAGGTTACAAAATTCTCAGCTGCTGTTTCACATTTGGCCTGCCTCAAGAGCCTCACGAATGCTCAAGAGCTTCAGGTTTTTAAATCACGGCGGAACTTACGTACCACTTTAGCTGTTCCGTGGTGGCAGGAGCATGCGAAGGGGGTGCTTAAGAATATACGCCTTTTCATTGACTCTGTATAATTTATTTAATTCTTGTCGCTTTTGCATATACGTTGCTGTGACTGTCGTTTCACTCTTCTACATTTTTTATTATTAATTAGAAGTAAGGTTTCTTATTATCACGAACTATTTCGCCAAATGAAATTTTCCCGATCTCCGTGGGGTTGTTCCGCTGTTTTCTAGCTGAATTCCGACTTTAGGCTTATGGTCTCTCCAAGGCAAAGGGGGCCGAGAAGCAAGAGTAATTAGGATCCGACTTGTTACAGATGTGAGGCTGACGTATCACAGGACAATCACTTTTAGTGCACTGTCCTTATTTCTACGAAGTGGCAATGACAGTAATTCCTCATAGCGCACGACCCTGGAATTTTGTGTTGTAATAATAGATCATTGAAAATACCGGACTTCTGTTGAGGCAATTCTTTTGTAGAATGCAACAGTACGCGGCGCCCCGAAATAACTGTTTAGCTTTTAGTTACATGGTGAAAAGTTAGAAACTGAAGACAGGCATATGGACTTTCGCTTTGAGAAAGATCATAAACATACCTACATTTGTGTATGCAATGTTTTCTTTGTTAAAAATTACATAGTTTTGATCTCTGACGTTATACATGACAGATTTAACGCAGTGGGAATCTGCAGTAGTATAAATTACGCACCGAAATGGATCACTGAACTGTATAATGAAATATTTGTGTTCTTATCAGCATTCCACAATTTATTGCGTTAATGCAGGGCTCGAAGTATTGAAAATTATTCTAATCAGTTGTACTATATCAACACAAAAGAATGTGTATGTTATATGTAGGATGTAAAGTGCAGATTTTGTCGATCAATATAATTGTCTCTTTCTCTTACTGGGTCGTTGTTGGAGCACCGTTAATCTTTGAATGGAGCCCAGCATTACCAGCCGTAGGACTTCGTACTGATTTTCAAATACTTGAAGCGGATGAAGTTGGACTGGAGGCCAGTAGTAATGCACAGTCATGTAGGACAAAATTAAGACCGATTCGATTTCGGGAGACGCAAAATATTCACCGATTCTCAGGTAGGCCCATCAATGGTGTATCTTGATCCGTAGGTAAATATCACAGTTCATGATATCTTTCTTTTACCGAGTTACAAGACCTCCAATGGTAGGGTGATCGTAAATGATGAATTGGATTTGATCTCCCCCCCCTGAAATATGTGTGATGACGTGTAAAGTCGTAATTTTCTGCTAAACTGTCTTCCCAGGAAAAACGTGTATTGAAATATGTATGCCATTTTTAAACTGCAGCGTCTTTGCCGATTGATTTTCACCTTCTACCTCATAGACGGGTTCGTAGAAAAGGTGTTTCAAAGCCTTGTGAAATTTTAATATGACCATCTAATTACCTCATTCTATTTGCTCTTAAAATACTATTATTTCCATTACAATACAAATATATTTTGCTCTGTCGTTATTAGGATTTACATTATGCCATTTCAAGACAACGCTGCGTTCTTTCTTACTTATCAATAGAGATTACGAATATCGCCAGCACTACGTGTTTGACGCCACGTATTTCCTGAGTCTAAATACAGAGCATCAGTCAGTATGACAAGGCCACTTGGCCCCCTCTGCGAGGCTAGTGCCGGTTTTGTAATCAATACAGCTGCGGGGTACATCAGCTGGATTGGCATAGATTCATGAGAGTGTGTCCAAACAAGCTACAGACTTTGCAGAATTTTGGCCTTAGTGTCAAGGATGTCGTCGTTTTTTTTGTGTCACTATGCAAATGAGAGTTCTCGTCTAAATCTATCAATGGACAGTTTTAAGTAACAACCTCGATCCGTAGTAGGTCACTAAGCCCTTATTTGTTCAACGACAATGTAACTATATCCCACCAGCACTGGGGGTAAATCAGCCGGGGCGTGAAGCTGATCACTCACCTGCATATCTAGTGCCAGTCACACTAATATAATAAATTAAGATTAAAACATGCTAAATTATTTTAGTGCTTGCATGTTTTATATTTCCATCCATCTCAAACGAGGGTTATGTTGATACAGGCGTCAATACAAGAGAAATGAGACATTATGGTATTCTATACTTAACAAGAAGTTCTGAGAAGAACTAATCTACTTTCCTTTTATTTTAACTTTCGTATCTGATACGGATAGTAGAAAGAAACTGTAGTTACAGTATGTGTACTGTAGTCGTAGCTCACCGTTGAGACCGACTCTGGCATACCAAGTTTCATGAAGATTCATACAGGCGTTCAAGCGATATTAGAGTCTTCTTTCAACAATTTGAAAGGCTGTAATGTTGGTATTACTGATGGTATATTTATGAATTATTCCGTTGGGATGGGGTTAGGTGTCATGATATATATAGAAGTCCATAAAGACTGCTTCAGGTACTCAAAAGGGGACGGAGGACACACACAGACAGGAAGTTGATGTTACAGGCCTACTTTTATATTTTCAACTGTAACCGTTCATAATAATTTGGTGGATTATTTTGTATTAATTAAGTTTATATTAAGGTAATATCACAAAAATATAAACATATCCGGCAGATAGCCAACTCTTACACCCAGATGTGACATAGTTCAAGTTTTGCTACGTGAACAGGAAGTAATATCTGGTACATTTCCTGGAATTCTGGCAGTTTCAGCAGAGTCGGAAAGTCTTTGAGAATTTGAGAGCTGACAGCTTGGAACAGCTGTAACTTAGAAGTATGAGGGTCGGAGCCTCATCCCCTGATCGTAGTGCATCAAGTCGCTGTCAACCTTAGCGTCAGGTCAGCAAATGACAGAATCACATAGCAAAGCAACATGTTTGGAAATTCATAAATTCAGGGAACCTCCTAGTTTGAAAACTAAACCAATGGCACAGGTTGGAAGAGTGGACCTCAGAAGAGAGAGAGAGTGCATTCCACCTCGAGGAGTCTTCATTCAACTTTCGGCCAAGTCAGACACAAAATCACAACTACGTCCCTTCAGTAAAAGTATTAAAAGTTAAATACAATTAAGTGTAACCATTTGAGTTTCCGCTGTATTCAGTGAGCGGAAGTGAATTAAATAATTACTAAGTGCAAAAGTCTGAAGTGGTGTATATGACTATAGTGTAAGAATCTTCCTGCCCTGGCCGAGCCAGACTCGTAAGACCCCGGGATAAGAAGTCATCTCTACCCATTACAGAGCAGAACCCCAGATACTCCCGTCTTTCCCTACTTGCGAGACACCTAATTGTAGTACAGGAAACGAACTCTCGCCTACCAGCACCAGCAGCCACAATTCTCTTCCCTTCGCAACTAACTTCTCGCCATCCACGAGAAGAGGAAGGAGGGCGGTGACTCCAGTGGAGGTGTCCAGACACTAGGTGCGGGCGAGCCGCAGCACCGCAAGGAAGGGATAATAGTAGGTAAAGAACTAATAAGTGACGAAAAGTCGGGCAAAAGGCAGTCACAAGTGGTGCCGAATGTAGGGTCAACACAGAACACAAGGAAGAGGGCGGTGACACAACATAAGTAGCCTAGAAATGGCGATTGGATTGTTCAGTGGATAAAACGTATATTGGGGCTGGCAGCTTATGTTCATTCATATTGGTATAATTTGAAACCCCAGCCATTCAAAGAATTGAACACTAGATCAAGTAGAAGTGTGACACGTTACACAAAGCAAGAAAATTGGAGAAGTTTGGTATAGGTGTCTCGCAGGTATCTAAAACAGCCGCTAAACACACTCTGACCTAGCAAGATGACTCACGCTGAAATGTTTCTTGTATTTGAGAATGGGAAGATGGTCAAACCTAGGTTGTATCCCAGAGGTTTCTTCAATGCCCGTTTGCCGCGATGACACTTGTTTTTAAAGACAGATGTCAAACGCAGACGGCGCAACCAAAGGGCAAGGAGTGTTGAGGCCCCTTCCCTCAAAGTATTGGATACAGTATGAATACTGTCGCGTGTATGAAAGACTACAGACGGCGTTTGGACTGGTAGTTGAATTCATTGTCAACTTACAAAACATAACAACCAGTATTTACAGCGCTATCGCTAATTCACACGCTCAGCAGTTCACCGCAACAGGTACTAAGTCTTCTGAGACTGTCTTCACCAGCCGTTGCCAGGTAACGCCTTAACGGCACACGTTCATCCTAAGGCGCGTCAACATTAGCGAGCGTTAAACACGTCCATAGTTGGCGAACATAACTGCGAGTCGAACTTCGTTGCGAGCAAAATACACGTACACGCAGCGGGAACCATTGTCGGTTTCTGGCCGTCACATCAAAGGAAGTTCGTGGTGTAATTACACACTGCAGTGGACGGCGTGGCGAGCCGAACATCAAACTGAAAGGCATGGTCGCAGTAGTATGAGTGCGAGTCCTGATTCAGTTAGGACTGGATAGAAAAGAAGTGTTTGTAAATTGTAAGTGCTTCCGAAAAGCAAGAAATGTTGTGGAATGTTAAACACCCACAGCACTACAAGTTAAGGAGATATGATGCGTGGGAAGAAGTGGCAGGAGAAATGGGAGTAGATGCCGAAACATGCAGAAGGAAAATTACGGCGTTCCTTGCATCTCTACGAAGGGAAAAGGCGGAAATGGAAAAAAAAAAAAAAAAGCATAGCCACAGGAGGTAAGACGCATTTATTTTAAACTATACACCAGAGATTGTATATGATCTGAAATATTTACAACACAGTCTCAAAGTTTATATAGGTGCCAAGGAAGTGTACAAAAGTTAATGGTATGCCTTTCAGCGGCTGTAGTTTCTGTGGGATAAAGACAAACCAGTAGAAACTAGAAGCAGTGTAAGTTAAGAACTCATGCGTTTACCATTTTCTTTTCCTTTGCCTTCTGTACTTAATGGGGAAGTTACATTTTTAGAATAGTACTGAGCATGCATTCATAAAATTGATGTCGCAGAGTTGGTTAGGAAAATTATAGGTGAAAATAAAGAGACGCGGATCTCTGTTTTTTTCCTCCATGTGGGCCCGGGTTCACAAAAAAAGTGACAAAGGAAATACGTCGAGCTACTGTTCTTCTGTCATATTTTGCTGGAGCTGCACACGATTTCGCTCATATTTTCCGAACTAATTCAAGCATGTTGATTTTGGCATGGAATCTTCCCTTCTTTGGTAAAGAAATCTGCCAATTCATTCCTTATTTCCATTGCTGTTCTTGGGGGCCTTTTCGGAATTCTTTGCAGCTGTAGTAAGGAAGTTCTCTTCTCGTTATTGTCGTTCCTCCAAGACCCTGGCTTTAGTTTGCCTTCTACCTCATAATCCATACTTCCTAGTGGTGAGTACAGGTTAAAGGATTCCTTGTTCCTCCTCAGGAAGTTATGCAGGTGAGCGACGGCCATGACACTGAGAGTTTCATTTTCTGGCTGTAGCAGCAGTGGTTTGCTCAGTACTCGGAACACAGAAGAAGATATTTCAAACACGTTTTCAACCACTTTGCGAGCTCTGCATACCCTGCAATTAAACACTCGCTTCTTTGAATCTGCAGGATACATTCCTGGAAACACTTTCATTAAATGCTGACTGAGTGCAAATGCTTCATCTCCAAGAAAAAAAATAGGGAATTTCTTTCTCTCTTCCATCCAAACTTTGGGGTTGTGGACCATTTAACTCTCATTTTTCAATAGTCTTATACAAAGTACAGTTTTTAAAAACTCCGCCATTTGAAATTCTACTTTGGCATCCCACATCAACTATACAAAATTGTAATTGGCATTTACCACAGCAAAAATACAATGCTAAATTCATGTTTGTAATTGAAGTATTCACTTCCGCTGTTGACAGGAGTCTGCAGAATGACATGCTTCCCATCTAAAGCCCCTAGACAGTGGGGAGAGTTCCGCTTTTCATCAAATTCTTTAGCGATCTTTAGCCAGCCTTCTTCAGTTGATGGTATCTACAATGCAAAAATAGACCCTTGTGAATACCTCCATATTCAGTACAATGAAGTATAAATATGGCACTTGAAAGAAGTAATTCTGATATAACAGCTTTGTTGACGGAATTTGTTTGTATGACTGTAATACCTGTTCGCTTCGGGATTACCGCCGGCAGAGAAGGGAACTAGCGTTGTAAACACGCTTAATTTGACTGTACATGGTTACTCCCCGCCTTCCCAACTGTGCTTTCTGTTCACATAAGCTGTAAACAAAGACCTTAGCCTTAGCCAGCACCACCATTTCTCAGTGTTAACTCCTTGCGCGAACGGGTATTATAACAATATTTGTACATGTTATTGACAACTTCTATTTATTTAGACCACCAAAAATTATATTTCAGATTTCACTAGAGCAAGGAAACGAGAAAGACCTGGAGCATGAAGAAGCAACAGCCCAGTAAGAGAGCCAGAGAAATAGCAATACATCCAATATCCCGTCTTCCAAAAAAGCAGGTCCATCACGAAAGAGAAAAGAAGACGAATCTAGAAATGTCAGTGTAGGTTTTGAGCTATTGAAGTCATGCACTTCAGCTGGTGAAAATAATAACGAATCGCAAAAGTTCGGAAATCTTATTGGTACTAAGCCCAGAAAATATGACAATATGACTAGAAGCCTCATACAAATGAGATATTTGGAATCTTCTTAAATGCAGAGAGGGTTTGTATAAGCAGGCACAGCATCTTTCAGGTTTCAACATCTGAACCCAACCACTAGGTCAAAATGTTCCCTTGCAAACCAGCCACTCCACTGCCAGTTACAATCCTCAAAGTCTAAATGCACACCAGGCACAAGTATGCTCGCATTCCCCGACTCCTCAACAGCACAGCCCTCTCCAGCTTCCATTCCTCTGTCGCTACCACTGCTGCTACACACCCCCCACTGCCTGACCTTTCCTCTGATGATAAGTTTTCTCTGCAAGAACTTATTTAATATTGCTTTGTTTAACTTCAAACTGTTACTTTCAGTTTCCATCATTGCATTTCATTTTGGTGAAATAAAGAAAATAAATAATCCTGCAGTAAAAGATTCTTTCAATAACACATAAACTCCAATCTGGATGTTTTCCTTCAGAGATGCAAGAAGTGCCTCACATACTTCTGGCACTATTTTGCTGATGGCATGTTTGGATATCTTGAACAGATATTGCAAACTTGTGTAAGAGTCACTGGTAGCCAAAAACGGCAGTCACCGTTATCCTTTCCTGCACACTATTTGCCTCTCTAAAACGTGTACTTTTTTCTCAACTTTGGGACCAATCATGTTCATAAGATATTCAAAATCCATGGGTGACATCCTGGAGAAGTTCTTATACTGACCACTAATTTCTTGAAATTTGAGATCTGCAAGCATACTATTACCACTGTATTCTGCCCACCTGCATATGAAGATAGATGTATGCTGCAGCAGCTAACTTCAGCCTATTGTTATCAATGGGTATGTACTTCCATCACTTGTTTATCCACGACTGAACTAAATGGCTTGCATAGATGCTCACAATGGGATGAGGTTCAGTTCGCATAGATGCTCACGATGGGATGACGTTTGGCTCACATGGAAAGTTATAACATGTGCTCGCAACTGGGCTTGGTTCAAAGCTTGGCTCGAACCTCGGCTTGCTAATGTGGACACAGCCTTACTGTGTGTTCCCGAACTACCCCCGTGCATTGGGTACTAGCTTCTAACAGCAATGGATCATATATACACGTACTGAATCGAAGCAGTCATCTAACTAACTTGCTCACCAACCAATTCCAATCCACTGTACTAAATTGCACTGCACTCACAAAATGATTTGAACACAGTTGAGTCATATAGCCTGGGAGCGGTACTACAGAGAACATCACTTGCAACAACTTTTGTTGCTACACTGCTCTCTCCTTAAGGCTATTTATCCCATATGGCTGACAGGCATTTTGCCATTTCTTCCATTTCCAAGGGCAGTGTTTTTGATGTCTGTGATCAGCTCACCTTCCTTTTCCGTGGCTTGGTTCTCACGGTTGTAACTCTTCAATGGCTCCCTTCTAAGGTCACTTGTCACCAGCGCCTCACTAATGAGGTACGAGCTGGTCCAGGTGTATGAACATTAACCTCGATCTAGGGTTCTGCTGTATATCACATCATTAGTTCCAGTGGCTAAGTTGTACGGGCCTTCCCATGAAGATTGGAGATTGGGCGATATCCCCTTCCTGCTGGTTGGGCGACAGAGCCACACTTTGTCACCCTTGTGGTAGCCCGCGCAGTTGACCAGTCTGTTGTAACAATATATATGAGACAAATTCCGTCTTAAGTACAACAATTTAATTGTAGTTCTTTCTTCTTCCCTTCCTCTACACTACATGTTTCGGCCCTAAATGGCCATCATCAGGTGTGTATTCTTATGTAGCTGCTATACTGCCTGTAGTTTAAAATTTAAAATCACCAGTCTTTCCAATTGTATGTATGTATAAAATCTTTGTTAACCTACACGCGTCAATTTGATTTCTAAAATTGGCACTTTTTTTAAAACTTCAATCCAAATTAAAATATCTATAAATTTTCTGTTCTTTTTCTTTTTCAAAATTTTTAAAATTTTTTTCAGGGTACACGCCCTATGTCTATAGTGCTGCAGCAGCCACTTCTTGTTCTATCGCTGTTCAGGTACTGTTCTGTGTAGGCTCACACACACACACACACACAGAGGAAGATCTAGCTCTCATCGGGTCCGATCACCTCAGAGACTCCAACTTAATTGATATTAAGGTACAGGCAACCATACATGAAACCCATTCAGTAACTGAAACCACCAAACAAGATTTACAGGCTCGGTTGGAAGTAGTCGAGGCCATGAAGCTGGGAAGGGAATCAGGAGTCAGTGCAAATGTGGCCCAACTACCAACATTTGACAGAACTACATCCTGGGCTGTATTCTGACATCAGTTTGAGACCGCAGTGGATCACTACCATTGCTCGCACCAGGATAAATTGATGTACTTGATCACAGCCCTGAAAGGCCATGCAGCAGACGTACTACATGACATTCGAACAAATGCGACTTATGAGGAAACACTTCAGACCCTGGAGGACTGTCGCTTTTCACTTAACCTAAAACGAGGTCACAAAGGGCACAAAAGCATTCTGCCATCTATATTCAGGCGAAAGTGTTGACACAAAAGCTGCTGCCAGTGCTGAGAGCAGAATCAGTAAGATGCCATCACAGCACCGGCCTATGCGAACTGTCCCCGGCCACCACTACCCAGAACATCTAGTTCACAATAACAATAAATAATTTGCAACCTGGCCTCGTGTACTGCAGACATTCTTACTGCATTTTTTTTTGGAACCGAGATTAATATCATTTCACTCGTATCAGGAAAAAGTGTCTCACCATGCCTCTAAGTATGAACATTTCATTTAAATCAATCTAGCACCTCATTATTGCAATGTAATCGACACTGTGAACTATAACATACATAGAATACTTGTCATTAGGAAAGCTGAAGTTGGGTAAACTTGAAAGAAAATTCTGTTTCAATTAGAGATACTGTATTGAACTTCATAATTTTGCTCACAACATACAGAGAACAAAGTTTTCAGTTACAGTAACGTATAGAAAGCAATAATACTGATGTTTTCATTTATTATTAATTTCAGTAGTACACTGAAATTCTAGAATCTGAAATACCCCCTTGCTAACATGAGTAAGATTGCTTTTAATTATACATGAAAAGCAACAGAATAATTGCAGAACTATGACAAATCTCATGTTCCTAAAACATCCTCCTCTTTCCCAGTTCAATACTGAAAATAATAATGTGGCCAAAATAATAAAATAACTGAAGAAATGTAATGAACCTTGAAAATCTGAAATATATACATGCTCACAAGTTCAATACTGGATATAATATGACAAAAATACTAGTAATTAAATAACTGAAGGAATATAATGAACCTTGAAAATCTTAAATGTATACATGTTCATAAGTTCAATACTGAACAGACTCATATGGCCAGCATAATAAAACAATTTAAGAAACATAAAGTGATATAAGTAAAGCCATCCCATTAACAGGCCATGGAGGCCCATAGGGTTGTGAGATTTTGAGGCTCCAACATTTTTTGGACAGTCGGTTCACAGACGGCTGTGAGGTTGTCAGCCTTATTCCTTGTACTCATTTCTGTTTGAGGCTGACCCAACCCCCAGGGCCATGGTGAGGCTCGAAGGATTAGGTCAATTGAAAAGTCCTGCGATCTTTCGACTTGTAGCATAGAACCTCAACCAGCTATGCTACCGCATGTCCCCTCTGAAGGAATATGTCCATTATAATAAAATAGCTGAAAAATATACCCACAGTAATAAAAAAAAAGCTGAATAAAATATATAAATACTATTAACTAAATTTTCCTACCCAAGAAATAGATAACAAACTTAAACACAAAATATACTATGAATCTGGGGCACGCGGTAGCGTAGTTGGTTGAGGGGCTATGCTACAAGCCAGAAGGTCGCGGGTTCAAGTCCCGATGAGGTCATTGGATTTTTTCAGTTGACCTAATCCTTCCAGCCGCACTAGGCCCTGGGATTTACTCAGCCTCTAACAGAAATGAGTACCAGGAATTAATTAAATAATTTGCCTGGGGAGTAAAGCATGGCCGGTGTGTAAGGCTGACAACCTTACCGCCATCTATGAGCCGACTGTCTAGATAATGTGGGACCCTCTACGTCTTACAACCCTGTGGACCTTCACGGCCTGGTACAGGGTAGCTTTACTTTTTTTTTATCGTTATGCTGATTCTGCTACTTGGTGTTTCATGATGAAGTAGATAACCTGAAAATTTCAAGTCAGTTATAAAAGTATTGCCACTTCGTTCTTATTTACACATAAACGAGAACTATGTCTGTCAGAAAACATCTGAACAGAAATATAACTAGTTCATGATGAAGCACAGAATGAACCCTAATAATATTCTCAAAGTGAAGTTCTAATATACTGAGACAACAGAGACATATTTGCAAAGCAGAGCAGAGCTGGGGTTGAAGTTCAGAATAGGTTTCTTGTACGTAATCCCTGACTGTTGACGAAGATGATGATGTGAACAAAGTACTCAATACCAGAGGCCTGAGACAACAGCATGTGAATACATGTTAGTTTCTGTTGCTGCACTGTAACTAACTGCTTGTCACCAATGTTACCTTCTCCAAGTTATGAAACAACTAATGATGCTCACATGAGAAGATGGCATAAATATTCTTCCAGTAATTCTATAACTGCTCTCTGCAGTATGGGCAGCACCTTAAAAGGCAAAAATAAAGAATCATTATGTTTCTAATGATTTACTGATGTGCCAGGATTTTCATCTGTCTCTTTGTTGCCCTCTGCCTGACTGCTTCTGTCATCAACATATCAGTTCCCTTACACCAGAAAGGAATATAAATTTTTGTGGGACTTCTCGCAGTACCATCTACTATTCATCTGTGAAATGAACAGCCAGTACACCTAATCCATTCAACGTCAATGCTGTTCCACTGAATTCAAGTGAGCCACCTCTGCCATCACAGGCTCCATTAGAGTTTCAGAAGTACCAAAAGACTCCACCAACTTCTCAGAAGGATAGGTGAGATACTGTTCTGTATCACTGTACTCCCTGAAATATATGACAGTATTGGTTGACAGCAGCACAAAATGCCAGACATGTCTTGCGTGCATCACAGCTGACACCATGAACCACCTGTATGGCAACGGAACCACATACAGATTACTGAGAACCAGCATGTATGTGCTGCAGCACCTATGTCTTTCTGCAATTGTTGATCAATATGGAAACTCTCAGGAACTTCATCAGGGCTTTCCTTCACATGACTTGTGGAGGGATTTGGTGAAGAAGCAACAGCTGCCCTGAGCAGAGATTATACGTGGGGCAATCCAAAAGTTTCCGAAATTTGAATTTTGCGCGCGAATGGTTATGAGTACATCGAATACCGCTAGGTGTCTCCTCACACATCCTTCTTGAATCAGTTTGGCAAGTGGCGTCGAGTTGAGTGGTTGAGTTTATTGTTGGTGAACGTATTTCCATTGTTGTGTTTCCGTGAGTTTGCGGTTTTGCGATGGCTGACATGAGAGAGCAGCGTGTCTGTATAAAGTTTTGTTTCAAACTTGGGAAAACCGCTGGAGAAACGTACCAAATGTTGAAGCGAGCTTTTGGTGAAACAGTTTAGGCCAGACACAAACTTACAACTGGTATAAGCATTTTAAAAATGGCCGAACATTGACTGATGACGACGATCGTTCGGGATGGCCGTCAACAGGCAAAACACCAGAAAATGTCATGAAAGTTAGGTATCTGATTTTGCAAGATCGTGGAGTGACCATCCAAGACCTCTGTAACACTTTGGGACTACGTTATGGTACATGTCAACGAATTTTGTCAGAGGAACTGAACATGAGGAGGATTGCGGCAAAGTTTGTGCCACGACTGCTGCAAAATGAACAGAAGCAGCATTGCTTGGAAGTCTGCAGGAACTTCAGCAACAGCTTCAAGAGGATCCAAACTTTCTTTCGAAGGTTGTCACTGGTGACGAAAGTTGGGTTTATGGCTACGACCCTGAAAGCGAGCAGCAATCGTCGCAATGGAAGAGCCCTCCTTCACCTCGGCCAAAAAAAGCTCGACAAGTCAAGAGCAACATTAAGTCCATGTTGATCTGTTTTTTTTTTTGATATTGACAGAATTGTTCACAAGGAGTTTGTCCCTCCTAGTCAGACAGTCAATAAAGAGTTCTATCGCGAAGTTCTAAGGCGTTTGAGGGAGAACATGAGAAAACGTCCAGAGAAGTGGTGCACGAACGACTGGGTACTCCACCATGACAACGCACGACCGCATACGGCTTACACTGTGCAGGAATTTTTGGCTAAAAACAAGATGGCAGTTGTTCCCCACCCAATGTACTCGCCAGACTTAGCTCCATGTGACTTCTTTCTCTTCCCCAAGATGAAAATCAAGTTGAAGGGGCGAAGATTTGATACAGTTGAGGAAATTCAAGCGGAAACGCAGACAGTACTAAACACCCTAACAAAGAAAGACTTCCAGGATGCATTTGAAAAGTGGCAGAAAAGCTGGGATTGGTGTATGCGCTCCCAAGGGACTATTTTGAAGGTGATGGTGCAGAATAAGATCTAGGTAAGATGTAATAGTTTTTATTAATATATTTTGGGAACTTTTGGATTGCACCACGTAGGTTATCCAGACAAGTCGTGCCATCATCCTCACAATTAGTTTCACACAGACCTCAAGAAGCAAGTCCACTGATGATGCCAGTCTTCAGGGCAGCTACAAACTACCCCTCAGTTGGGTTACTGTTAGAACCACAGTACAAACGAATACCCTGATTCATGTTTAGGGTGTGAAGTCACTCGTCTCTTTCACTGTCTTCCACACGTACTGGGCAGTAGTAATGTCCATTCGCCACCCATTCTGCGAAGGACGAGGGTGAAAAAAGGCAGTTTTACCATCCTTGAGGAAGATTCAATTATTTATTCCCATGCTTGCCTTTTTCCAATGATTTATATGGGGACTGTTATACTGAGTGGGAAACGCACTGTTTTCCCTGGGTCACCATTGAAACCTCCTCAACAAACGCAGCTGTTTGCAGCAACCTCCTGAAAGAACATTAAGAAGGAAATTAGCGGGCTTCCTTACATGATGGACTACCATATTTCTTCACATTTGAAAATAACACAAATTACTTTACAAGGGACTTCTATTATACAAAAATTTGCAAGCTTGATTATATTATTCCCCACAGTAAATTCTTCGCCACCATATTCTCTCATAAAGCATATTATTGACAGAATGTCCTGCTTTTCAAACATTTCTAATTATCCTAAAACAGCATTTTTGGCATTCTACGTAACTTGTATCTTGATATACAGTTTAATAAGTGGCCTCCGTAGTCTAGAGGTAACGTTCCCACCTCATGACTCGTAGTACGCGGGTTCAAATACCCGGCGGAGGTTGTCAGATTTTTAAGGGTGGAAAAATTCAGGGAACAAGTCCTCTGGGAGGGACTTTAAGCCGTGGGTCCCGTGTTGTAGCTTTACGGCACGTAAAAGAACCTCGTATCTCCAAAGGAGGTCACTGAGCCAAATTAATGGACGTTTCCCGCCCAATAGCAGTCTCTAATACCTCTGGTAGATGGGGGAAGCATAATAGATACCTCTCAGCTAGTAGAGCCGGTCTCGCTGGCTGGGCGGGACTGATGGTAAGCACCAGTACCGGTAGGATATAGAAACTGGCAGAAATCATAGAGGGAAGCACAGTGGACCAATACAGATCTCAATGCATGGGGAAACCCACCCTCTCCAATAACTAACTAACTAACTAACTAACTAACTACAGTTTAATATGTAATAATTAACAATGACGTTTGTTTGATCACAACTGGATTCTGGGGACAATAAGTTTGAAAAATAGCCTTCAATATTCTCATTAGCCACTTCTTTCATAACAGAATATAATTAATAGTATAGTGTATAGACGTCCTTGCCTGTAGCCACTACAGCACTGAGGCTTGGTGCAACAGTATGGCTTATAACCTGTATAGCCAAATTCAGTTTCACAGTGTTCATAGCACTCTGTGCAGTACGGTTGAGTTTGGTGTCTTTCAGCTTGTACACTAGCTAAACGGGCTGGGTTTATTGAGTTCATACAGTTTCAACATGTGTTCTCACTTAGCAATAACAGGAAACTGGCTGCTCAGATGCTCGGATTTCAACTGCATTGAGAAGATATGTAATGAGATTATGGAATTTCAAAGAACAGGACGTTATGATTTGATGTACATGAAGACAAAAGAACTAGGATGGAAAGAGAATCATGGGATTCAAAATGTTGGCATAGAAGACTCCCAGGGGAATAGAATAGTAG